CAAGGCTATATTTTCCGCATTTTACAACATTTTGCAACGAAACTTTGGAATATTACTAATTTTGTGATGCTCCTTCAAGCTGTGATGAAATTTTTGTCTAGACTTGTTTAGTTCAAAATTTAGTCTATTACGCAAATGGTCAATTACCAAGCTTTTAACGGTTGCTTTGACTGCGTCACTGAAGCCCCCTATTAAACGTTCTTGTGTCTTACTAAACAGCAGACAAGGAGCGACATAATGTTTCGTTATAAGATGAGATTAAAAATGGTATTTCTTCGAGTATCATGTTCAGTTGAACACGTCTACTTTAATCCATCTTTTGCAGATCCAAGATCTTGTTAAACGGTCTCGTTACCAGTTGGCATGTACTCGGTATTTTGAAATCACACACAAGGTAAATTTATCATTCCACTATCTGTAACTAATAAATGAACTGACTATAGCTATAAAATACAAACTGGATAAGCTCTGTCAGTTCTTAACTGTTCTGCCATGAAAGTCCAGTAAGATCCACCCTTTTTGATCCATGCACTCATGCAGTGCTATTACAAGAGAAAACCGAAACTTGACTTTTATACTGATAGCTCTTTCAGTTCTAAACTGTTTTCCCTAGAGCTCCAGTAAGGATCATCTCTTATTAATCCACTGTTACCACAAGAAGAAATCTAAACTAAACTAACTTTATTTAATATTTATACTGGATAGCTCTATCAGTTCTAAACTGTTCTTCCTAGAGGTCCAGTAAGGATCATTTCTTATTGAAACATCGAGTGTTATTACAGGAGGAAACCTCAACTAAACTAACTTTATTTACAGTATACTGGATAGCTCTATCAGTTTTAAACTGTTATCTTCTAGGTATCACTGCCTCATGCAGACGCCATAAATCACCCGAACAAATATGCCGAAGAAAGCCGTCGTATTCACAAACAGAGCGCCACCACGGTTTATGACGTCATCAACTATGACGTCACCATGGATGATAACTTAGATGAAGGAGCTTTGGAAAGTATGGATGCCATGGGATATTAGGGAATATCGTGGAACTATTGGTGATGGATTATTATGGATATGAAAGTAAGCCATGAATGCCCGAAACTGTTTTGCGAAGAAGACCATGTTTCGTACTGTCCTTGCCACAGATCCTAACTGTTTATTAACATTATGCAATAATGTTTAACATAGTAATACCGTTATATAATATATGATATAAACATAATACAGCATAATATAGTTTGTAAACCTTGAGGGTACATTCACGATTTGTGCCAATTGTTTCCCACAGTTCATTCATTAAATAGGAACACAACGCATTGTGGAAAGAACTGGGGGATTCACTAACCTTCGACCTCTATGAGGCGTATGCACCTCCGAGGTTTACTAGAACAGTAGATTTTCAATTAGAACAGTAAATTTTCACTAAGTTTGGGCAGGTGCCTTGCACGGTTCTTCGAGTCCCGTTTGCGCCTCGCCCATTCAGAGTCTCCGAATAATTGACTATATAAGACTTTGTACATATACTTTAGTGGACCCACCCTAATAAAGACAATAATAATTTCTAATAGTTTATAATTTGGCAAAGCTTTCGAACCATAACGCAAAATCTTCATCAGTGCAAAGAATGAGTACATTTTAAAGCTTTTTCATATTACTAAAGCCTTGGGCGAATGATGATGAGAGTTGCAGTCCTCACTCGCGTTTAACCATCAACTTTCATCGACTCTCGTGCACTCTCTTTAACTCTCGTCGACGTTAAACTCATGTGTTGACAGTTTTATATATTAAGATATATTTGCATATTTCACGCCTCTTACATGATAATTTAAATCGTGACAAGCCTGTTATAGACCGCTAATCGGCTTGTTTATAAAAATCTGTACTGAGCTGTTGTTGCCGTTGTTCGAGATGTTAGCGCATGTTTATGCTGTTGACCACCCAATTTACTGACATATATAATTTAAATGCTTGGTTATCTTTGTTTCATTCTATGCTTACATCATCAGAACAGGCAATTGCTAGATAGTATACCTCAAAATAAGATTTCCGTTTTTATTCTATTTTTAATTAAAATACGTTAGAGTCAGATTAGGGTTTAGGGTTAGGGTTAGGTTTAGTATTAGGGTTAGTGTTTAGTTTTGCGTTAAGATAGTTTTTTCTACGTTATAAAAACGGAAACCTCTATTATGAAGTATACTATCTAGCAATCACCCATCAGAACAGTGGTAACTAGGCATGTGAGTTATTTGAAATATATTAATTTGGTGGCAACATGGTTAATAAAGTAGATGGTTTGGAAACTCATTAGAGTAACAATATAACTCATCTATGTTAGTCAACGTTTATTCATAAATCTAGGCCTTCACCATCACGTGTGTATGTATTTTTGCCAAATCCACCAATAGCAATTTTCAATTTACCTTATTGTTCGAGTCCGGGATAGGTAACTTTCTTAAAACATTGCTATTGGTTAGTTGGGCAAAAATACAATACACACGTGATGGTGAAGGACTAGATTTATGAATAAATGTTGACTAACATAGATAATGAGTTATATTGTTATTCTAATGAGTTTCCAAACCATTTATTCCATTAACGATGGTTGCAACTTGCATAAACATGGGTTTGGTCTATTGCTTGACTATACTTGACTTAAAACCAGCCTCCCCATATCTTATGTAGTGTACATACACGCATGATGCTCGTCGAATCTCCGCTGACTGCCACAAACCGTTGAACAGTAAACTTTCCAACATTTTCCACACTACCACCATCAGTACCGTAAAGTACACATTCGTCCAGAAATTATCCTTATGTATCCTCTCTAAACGTGGCATACCCATATATAACCCCATGGCTATCATAAGTACATACAATATATACCATATAGTGTGACATAGATTAATGACGTCATTCGAACCCAGTACCACAGTGCCATCGGTAGTCGTGTTCAAAACCCATGTACACGTCACCGAGCTGTATTCAGTTATTAATAATTCGATCTTTTGTTTGATTAACTTATAATCCTCTGAATGATAGCCAAGTATATTAAGAATTACTTCATATAAAGCAAAAATGAATGAAATAGCTAAGACTGCTTTTAAAACTACAACAAAAAATGAAAATAGCACTGCGATTTCGTAAACCAATCTCGCGAGGTGACGACATCCATAAAAATAGATAATTGTAACAAGCCCGATTATTAGTAGGGTCACGTGAATTCTGCTCTCCGCTGACCAAGACAAGCAGTGCAGCAGTAGCAAGTACTGTATAGTGTAGCTTCGTGATATTGTGTGTTCTATGATGAGTAAGAATGAACGAAGTCGTCCAGGTCTTTGCACCGGGGCGGGAGAATCCATCTTTCATTCATCCAGTATGCGCTACCTAGGAAGAATTTAAGTTAGCTTATAATCCAATGTGTTTCATTATTGGCGTTAATGGTTGTGGGTCCCCTGTACCTAGGATTCGTGCTTGGTTACCTTGGTTACCACTAGTTCCATCGGTTCCTATTAGTATTAGACAGTTCCGAAGTTGATGAGTGGACTGGGGACGAGTGTTAAAAAGTCCTCAAATTAAGAAATGAACCAAATAACTAAAAGACCACCTCAAAATTAGTAAGTATACAAAGTTTGAAGACGTTTACCTGAATATCCTTCGAATAATAAGCTTTCGAAAATCCGATATTTACTATCTTTTAATCAGTAATTTCATAATTTTCGAAAGCTTATTATTCGAAGGGTATTCATGCAAACGTCTTCAAACTGTGTATACTTACTAATTTTGAGGTGGTCTTTTTAGTGATTTAGTTCATTTCTTAATTTGAGCACTTTTTAACACTCGTCCCCAGTCCACTCATCAACTCCGGAATGGCTAATTAGACATTATGCATGGTTTTCTGATTATAATTTCGTTATCAATCGCATGTAGGTAAGATGAGTGTTTCAGTTTGATTCAACCAAAAACCTTCTCTGTACTACCTGCAGCAGACTTGTGGCAATGCCTGTTTCAACAACTTGCACTGTCAAGTTCAGATGATTAAAAACCTGCAGGTTATCTAAGAACTGAGGCCATTTTAAACAGATTGAGGGCAGTATTATGCAATTCATTGATTGACATGACCCATCCACAAATTCGTGTTTCTGTGGTCTTTAGAATGTTATTTCCTGCATTAGAAAATTACAGAGGTGATTTGAAGATTGGAAGGCATACGCTCTTGGATTACTCCTCTGGCTCTTTTCCCCATAACTCTTCTCGTCGGATTAATTGAGAATAATTAGAATACCGTGAAATTTGTAAGTCCAGCCGTGACCTGGAGTTCAGCCCCAAAACCTAGCCACTCTGAACTTTGCAGCTCTGAACTTGTTGTCAGAATGTAGTTCCAAAGCTCTTTATCTGGGAACTATGGTGCAAGTCAGCTCATTGATTTTAAAACTTGTTGGTCGAAAGAACTCCGCTTTTTATATAGCGGCAAATACAATCCGACTCCCAGTCAATACAATAACATTTCTATAGTTTATGACCCGGTCTATGGCTTTAATCTCGTCCGTTCAGCCCATTTGATTCTGAGGCGGTCTAACAAATTAAATAATAAATTGGTGTACTCGATTCACTGTAAAAACCAATACATACCTCACTGGTTGTGTAAAATAAGTAGCAAAGAATTTCTACGAAACATTTAAATGCAACATTTAAATGCAAACGGTTTCTCTCGGAGTGTCTGAGTGGCAATTTGAATTTAGCACGAGATTTTATTTATCCAGTATCATGTTTCGCTTTTTGCTTGATTGATAGATTTTATCTACGTGTAGTCGTTCTGATACTGTACTGGATAGCTTCCTGTAGCGATGTGATAAACACCTATATATCATATACTACCCTGTTCTGGTTGTAGTCATGGAATATAAACTGTTATTATACCGGGCCTTTATCTTAAGGTTATATACTCACGATTTAATAATATTCATCCATACACTATGAATGCCTGAGCCCTTGGACCAAATTAAACCAGTTTGTATTTTAAATCTGTAAATATTGTGAACCCCATGGCGTTGATATCTTGACCATTTTATCGTTTGGCACGTATTTTCAAATATTTTTAATGACAGTCGTCAGACAATATCTGAAGCATTTGCTTTGATATTTTGAATAAATTAGCCACGCATGAATGACCAATTGAAGTTTGAACAATGATTTAATAGTTCAACAAAACAATTACTGAATTAGATGCTTTTTGCAACAGGAGCAAGCTTGTGAACAAGTTGTAACAATGCTGTTATTTTGTATAGCTGCCACAAGGTTGTCACTCACAACTTGTTAACAAATTGTTGAATTGCAGGACGATAACAAGTTGTTGCAACAACTTGTAACAATATAGCCGAGTCCTCAACCCTCACACGCGCGTGTTACAATCTCTCAGCTTGTCAACAAGATGTGCTCGTACTGCTTGTTCCCAGTTGTTGACAAGTCTGGAACAAGTTGTTATCATCTTGCAACTCGCGACAAGTTGAGTGTATTGAGTAAACTATAAAATGTGTGTTATTCCCATTGAACTAGTTATTCCAGAAAAGATCCACACTCCAACCACGGAGGATATTTCTGCCGCCCGGAGGGGCAGGGGAGAACAATTTGTTTCTGATAATAGTAAGTGTGTTAGGATGTCCGAAAGAGGTAGGGGGTAACTTTCAATTTCCTCTGTGGGGGAGGTATGGTTGTTTTCTGGAATGACCCAAGTAATAAAATATTGCATAATAAATAGTTTGCAGTCTAGTCATATTGTATTGTATATATATATATATATATATATATATATATATATATATATATATATATATATATATATATATATATATATATATATATATATATATATATATATA